CTGTTTTCATACAGTGGGTGTGGGTGGGCAGGCAGGCAGGCAGTGTGGGTGTAGAAAGCAGGAAGGCAGGTAGGCAGGCAATACAGCTCATCTTTGGCTGTAGCCTGGCAGAGCAAAAGGTGGAGTGATCTGCACTCCACTCTGCCTTTCCCTGCAGATGTTTTGGTGCCACTGTGTGCAGCAAAGGTGTGAGGCAGATTGACCATGGGGATGATAAGTTTCTGTGGAGACAAGGGCTGTCTCTTTGCTGGCTATGGGGCTATCTCTTTACTGGACATGGGGCTGTCTCTTTCTCGATATGGAGCTGTCTATTGTAGGATATGGGGCTATCTTCTGCTGGATATGGAGATGTCTCTTGCTGGATATGAAGCTGTCTATTGCTTGATATGGGCCTGTCTCTTGCTGGATATGGGCCTGTCCCTTTGCTGGATATGGGGGCTGTCTCTTACTGGATAGTGGGCTGTCTCTTTTCTGGATATGGGGTATGTCTCTTCCTAGGTGTGGGTCTGTTTCTTTGCTGAAATGGGGCTGTCTCTTTGCTTGATGGGGGGGGGGGGTCTCTTGCTGGATATGGACCTGTCTCTTTGCTGGATGATGGGCTTTTCACTTTGCTGGATATGGGTATTTTTTGTTGCTGGATATGGGTGATGTCTCTTGCTGGATATAGAGCTGTCTCTTTGCTAGATATGGGGTTGTGTCTTTGCGGGATATGGGGGATGTCTCTTATAAGATATGGGCCTGTCTTTTCCGGGATATGGACCTGTCTATTTGCAAGATACAGGACTGTCTCTTTGCTGTACTGGGCTGTCTGTTTGCTTGATTAGGCTATCTGTTTGCTGGATGTGGTTGTCTCTTTGCTGGACTGGGTTGTCTGCTGGATTGGGATATCTATTTGCTGGATGGGAATGTCTTTTGCTTGATACAGACCTGTCTCTTTGATGGATATGAGTCTGTCTCTTTGCTGGATATGGGGGTATCTCTTACTGGATATGGGCTTGTCTCTTTGCTGGATATGGGTATTTCTCTTTGCTGGATATGGGGGATGTCTCTTGCTGGATATGGGGTATGTCTCTTTCTGGATATGGGGGATGTCTCTTTCTGGATATGGGCCTGTTTCTTGCAGGATATGGGCCTGTCTCTTGCAGGATATGGGCCTGTCTCTTTGTTGGATATGGGCCTGTTGAAAAATCATCTGGAAATGCCTCTGAGATTAATTTGGGGCTGGATATTTCTAAAGTTTTGTGCATTTTACTGCATTGCTTTTTATTAACAAATTTCATACAAATTACTTGTATAGCCCCCCAAATTATACCTGTTCTCTAAAGGGGGTGGTGCTATTAGGTGTGTAAGGGTAGTGACAAGAGGTGGTCCTGGGGGTAGTTCTAAGGGTGGGTAGGGGGCAGAGAAAGGCATGGCTTAGGGGAGTTCCTTCACCTTTTCTCTGAGAAAAAAAGCCATATATATATATATATATATATATATATATATATATACAGTTGTGTTCAAAATAATAGCAGTGTGTTGAAAAAAGTGAATAAAGCTCAAAATCCTTCTAATAGCTTTTATTTCCATACACACAAATGCATTGGGAACACTACACATTCTATTCCAAATCAAAACATGAAAAAAATATAACAAATTTGTGTTGTTCCTCTAAAAAAAATGTAAGAAAAGTGAATATTAGACTGTTCAAAAAAATAGCAGTGTCTGTATTCTTCTTTACAAACTCAAACATTCACTATATAAACTGAAAAATGTTTGAAGATTTTGCTTTCTTTGAATCACTTAATGAATATTTAGTTGTATAAGCACTGTTTCTGAGAACTGCTGTACATCAGTGTTGCATGGAGTCAACCAACGTTTGGCACCTGTGAACAGGTATTCCAGCCCAGGATGATTGGACTACATTCCACAGTTCTTCTGTATTTCTTGGTTTTGCCTCAGAAACTGCATTTTTGATGTCACCCCACAAGTTTTCTATTGGATTAAGATCCGGGGATTGGGCTGGCCACTCCATAATGTCAATCTTGTTGGTCTGGAACCAAGATGTTGCACGTTTACTGGTGTGTTCGGGTCGCTGTCTTGTTGGAACACCCATTTCAATGGCATTTCCTCCTCAGCATAAGGCAGCATGACCTCTTCAAGTATTCTGATGTATTCAAACTGATCCATGATCCCTGGTATGCAATAAATAGGCCCAACACCGTAGTATGAGAAACATCCCCATATTATGATGCTTGCGCAACCATGCTTCACTGTCTTCACAGTGTACTGTGGCTTGAATTCAGTGTTTGGGGGTCGTCTGACAAACTGTCTCCGGCCACTAGACCCAAAAAGAACAATCTTACTTTCATCAGTCCACAGAAGGTTCCCAGGGTGAGAGGTTGGAGACTCATCCCTTCCATTAGCTCTTAAAGTCTCCAGACTCCAGGGACCCATAACAAACTAAAGAAACACAGGAGAAAGTGCTAACCAATTTCTCCTCTTGTTGGCATTTCCCTGAAATCTCTCAGCTAGGGCTGAGAACCTCTCAAAAGGAAAAAAATAACGCCCCTCCACGATGTATCCTTGGCGCTTTCTACAATACATAAAAATAGAACATTTTATTTTTAATTGCTGGCCTTTATTATACATACAATGCTAAATGAAGAAGAAAAAATAATGCCCTGGCCACACAATATAAACAGGGCATATATGGAAAATGAGGGAAATTAGGAAAACTGTAGGCATTTTTCTCCATCTCAACCTATAGTATCTGAGTACATCTGAACCAATGAAAAATAAATGAACTTCCATTGTGATACAGTATAGCAGCATGCTACATTTTGCTGAAATATAGTGGACACATCATTTTCAGAATGTCAGGTTTTCGACTATGTAATAATAGGTAAAGGTGCTCAATTGTGATTTAAATAGTGCTTAACTGTTAGACAGTTTCAAGACAGTGACTTGGTACACAGATTTTGCTTTTCCCATAAAAAAAGTATCACGGACAGTACTCAATTGCTTTTCCCATAACTAACATATAGCATGAGTCAGGGGATAATGGCCTCAGAGTCTTGTACAATATCTATTCTGACACATTCTATTTAACTAATTATTTAGAATTATTGTTATTTTAGTAATTCATACTATGCCCTGGGTAATGCTACTCATCACAGTGCATGATAAAGTACAACCTATCCTGTATAATATAAAGATGTTTGAAGATTTCATGAAATGTGCTTTTTTTACTATTAGATATCTGTACTCCACAGTGATGACATGTAGAGTGGCAGAAAGTAAAAGAATCTAGAGGGTAACCTATTACAAAAAAAAGGTTTTTAAGAACAAAACTTTAGAATATCTTATGTGAAAGAATTATGTTCAGGCTTTAACATTTTATACGGAGTACAAGAGGAACGGAAGCAGGGAAAACTTTTGATCATATCATATCTGGTAGCCCCGCTCAGAGTTTCAGAAGATTGAAAAAGGATTTAGCATCTGATTAAATGATATTAAAATTTGGAACAACTTATATTAAACATTAATAATATACGACTGCAAATTTCTGGAGAATTCAGCTAGAAATAGTTACATTTTAAGTATAAGTAATGTATTCCTACTTAAGTGAAATTATTACATATTTAAATATACAGTGAAAACTGAAAAGTGAAAATTATGAAATTACTTCATCACATTACAATTATATTTTTTTTGGGTGGTGAGATTGAATTGTAATTATGAAGCTAGAATTTAATATGTTGTAAAGATTCAGAAGCTGACAATGTAAAGCTGTGAGTGTGTCTTCTCAGGAAATGGAATGGAAATCCATGTTGAAAGCAGTATTAAGCCCAAAACCAAAAATGCAATATATTGCAGCTTAACAATCATTAGATGTGGTGGCTGCATTAGTTTTCTTTAGCTTTTTCCTTTCTGTTTTCCCCTGGTGATCTGGCCACTAACACACCTCCAGTATTAGTGAGACACCATTCAAGAGGAATGAAGAAAAGGGGCACAGTATACAGCAGCACTGTCAGTCTGAAGGGATGGTAATGTTAAATGCACTAGCAGATTTAAAACCACTAACACATTGAAGCCAAGCGTCAGCTCACACTTTATAACCAGTCACAGCAAACAGTTTTTTTTTTTCCTTTTGGCATACAGATTTTGCATGAATACATAAAATTTCATAGTTTTGTTCACCCCTCCAGTGTTAAATGGTCTATCTCATCCATGTAAACTAATACTTTCTGCTGGAGAGCTTGTACTCTGAAAAACAAGAGACTTGCTGGCTGGATTAACACAGAAAAATAGAAGAAAGAAAGCCTAAAAAGGGAAATGATTGCAGCCATTACATCTAAGAATTGGTACACTGCAATATAATAAATGTTCACTTTTGGGTTTAATACTGTTTTAACGAATAATATGGTGGCTAGAGCATCAACAGATGTTGGCAATGCTGATAGTTGCAGAGAATAAGATGATGTCATTTTTTTCTATCAGCTGCTGGCTACAGAGATACAACATCAACATTTGATTACCTCATCTTTAGCATTAGGTATGGGCAGCAGAAAGTTACAGCTTGTGCAGGCTTTATTTATTTTGAACAATATCAATCCCTTGATATTTGCAGTTAACAGATTGGTGTTCTTTTTGTACTTCTCACCTCAATAGATACCTCCTCAAAACATTTTGGGATTTATATGTAAAATGTGTGCTATCAGAGGGGTTCCCCCTCTATACAAAAAAACAATAATTAAAAATTAGCTTCTTAGGGGGGCGGAGCCAGCTTCCGGCATGTGAGCAGTGGGGAGACAGGGCTGCATCAAGGACGATTAATCCTGCAGTCATCCTGAGGACTAGCGGCACCTGACTCTGTCAGAATCTACTATATTAAGAGGGGCTGAAGTGAATATCCTGATCAACATGGGAAAAATTGGTCACCCAATGGGGAAATCCTCTGGTGAGAGTCTTGCTAGGTTTACATAGGGCACCAAGATGGCAGCGGTGGCAGTACTAGCAGTCAGGAGCAGGGGTGAACTGACAACTCATGGGGCCCCCGGGCAATAGGGGATCATGGGGCCCCTGTGTCCTTGCCCAAACTCAAAAAAGCCTATGAAAAAGGTACCAGGGGCATCTCATGGGGCCCCCTACTGACCCCGGGCCCTCGGGCAGTGCCCGCGTTTCCAAATGGTCAGTCCTAGTCAGGAGCCATGTGGAGGAGGAGCAGACCTGCAAAATGGGAAGACACAAGTCACTGCTGCTGGATCAGTGGTGGTACGCCCTTTGCCTCAGAGAGATCGCACCCTGAAACGGGGACATTCCCTGGATAAGCTATCTCAGTCTGCTATGGATAATGAGCAGCCAGAAAAAGGCAATTCTGAGCCTTCTTTGAAGCAAATTATGGCGGCCATTCAGCTCTGCCAGTCCACTCTTACTGTGCACATTGATGGTATTAGAGTGGAGCTATCATTTCTGAAACAGGATGCGCATGCAGTTAAGGAGAGGACCTCATCTGCAGAACAACGTATCAGTGATCTTGAAGATATAGTGCAGCCATTAGAAGGCTCTGTACAGACTGCTCAAAAAGAACTGGCAGCTCATACTGATAAACTGAGGGATATGGAGGACAGGCTACGGCACAATAATATTAGGCTGGTGGGTTTCCTGGAGGGAGTGGAAGGCAAAGAACCGGAAGACTTCTTGGAGAAATGGCTCCAGGATAATATGGTGAATGACACCTTCTCTAGCCTATTTGCGATACAGAGAGTCCATCATAGCCCTATTAGAGCCCCTCTGCCAGAGAGAATATCCTGAGGCCATCACATTTCCATTTACCCTGATTTTTCTGCAGCAACACAGAAACAACATGCTAGTTTTGTCCATGTAAAGAAAAGTTTGCTGGGCTGTCAGCTGACTTATAGTTTGCTATACCCTGCAAAGCTTAGGGTGGTGGATAGAGGCAGAGTCCCTTTTTTCAATACTCTGGTGGATGCCTCTCGCTGGCTAGATTCTAGAGGGCACCATGCAGAAGCAGATCAACAGGATGTTTGACTGTTTTTCATTTCTCAGAATGGTCCTATAATTAAACTGTTGTGTGACTTATATAGAATGATACTTATGTTTTTTCAGGAGACCATGTTTCAGGATGATAACTGGGGTCCCCCCTTCTCCCTCCCCCCTCCCCTTTTCTTACTACCCCCCTTTTCTTTCCCCTTCTCCCTCCTCTTCTCTGCCCCCTCCTTTTTTCATTCTCCCTTTTTCCCCCCCTTCCCCCTCCCTCCTTCTCCCCCCTTCCCTCCCCCCCTCTTCCTCATTCCCGTTTCCCCCCTACTGTTTCCCCCCTTTCCCCCTTCTTCTCCCTTCCCCATTTTCCCCTTTTCATCCCCCTTTCTCCTTCCCCTCCTTTGTCTTTCTTCTCCCTTCGCCCCTTCTTCACCCCGTTCCACCCTCTTCTCTCCCCCCTTCTTCCTACCACCCTTTCCCCCTCTCTTTTCCCCCTGTTAACATACATCCAGAGGTCATAAATATCCATTCGCATCTCAGATCTTTGCACAATCCTGTGCCATACTAACGATAGCTCTGATTTAGCAGTACCTAATTTTGGTTGTTGTGTTCCTATTGTGCTGTTCTTTTGTCCTTCTCTTTTTGAGCTCTCACATGCCAGTTCTATAAGGTTTAGTCCCTCTGGGTGCCAGGAGGATTGAACCATGTTGTTTATGTGTTCATGTCTTTGACAGAAGACCTTTTGACCCCTGAGGTCAATTCATTGTTACGTTTTGGGTATGAAGCACCCAACATATTGGGGTTGTGTGAGGGGTGGGGGGAGTTGGGGACTGTTTTATGTTTTGTGGAGAATGTCTATTTCCTACTTATGTTCTATCCTCATGTATTTAGCATTACCAGTGTTATCTGATATTATGTGAAGCTAGAAAGGCCATATGACCTTGCGACACGAGGGGCACGATCTATGAAGTGCTGGATATTAGTACTATTGGGTCTATGACACAATATGTAAAATTATTGTCCTGGAATGTCAAAATTAAACGCTATAGTTTTTGAGTACATCAAGCTTTATAAACCACATATTATTTAACTTCAGGAAACCCATTTGCAGGGTTCCAGGATCATGGCCATGAAAAGGTCCAATATTGTGCAGGTTTTTCATGCAGAATATTCTACGGGGCTTGTTACAAATCTCTAAATATGCAAATTATACGTATTAAAATGGACCCTAAAGGGCAATATGTCATTTTGGTATGTAAGATATTTAACACATGTCTTACGATAGTGAATGTATATGTTCCTCCCCGTTTTCCTTTCAACTCTTGGAGAATATTTTAGCTATGGTGGTTTTGGTGGCCGAGGGACCTACGTTCCTGCTGGGAGATTTCAATGTGTTTTCAGATGTGGCATTGAATCGGCAGGGTGGCACTTCCGGGGCCTCTCCATGTCTCTCGAGGGGGCTGGAGAACTATGCCCTTATTGATGTTTAGAGATGCAGACAACCCGGGATCTGAAAGTTTTCCTGTCACTCGGAGATGCATCATACACTTTCTCATATTGATATGGTCCTATCTACTTTAGATGGGGTCTCCTTGATACTGAAAGTGAAATATCTACCGCGTGCTATCTCTTATCACTCAGCTGTTGGTCTGCAATTGGGTACACCTGATCGGATTAAACACTGGCATATGAAGGCGTATTGGCTACAGGAGGAATATGTGAAACTCAACTGTATGTCTGCTATAAGTCAATATTGTGTGGAAAATAGTACTGACCTTTTCATACAGTGGGAGGAGTTCAAAGCTACCCTTTGAAGGGAATATATGAAAACCGTTAAGGATTTTTCTAGAGCTTTGGGAGTGGATATTGTCAAGGCAGGGGCGCAGGTGGTCTCAACAGAGCATGAATATGTGCGTGATCCGACTGCAGGCAATTATGGAGTGTGGCAGGAATGTACACGTATCTATCGTTTGCTCTTAACAGAACAATCTAGTAAAAACCAACTACATCAATGTAGACACATTTTTGAGCATGGGGACAAAAGTGGTCGCCTTCTGGCATTTTTAGCACGACCCTCTTATATCCCGATATCTATTGTGCATCTCCGGACATCTCGAGGATGCATTATAGAGGAAAACCAAGAAATAGTACATACGTTTGAGCAGTTCTATCAAGATCTTTATAAATCGCAAAGGTGGGGTTTTGAATTCTGGAAGCTCCATGTATCTATCCTCTATTACATTAACTAGATTGCCCAGGGAATGTAGTGAAGCATTAGACCAGGCCATTGCAAGTGAAAAGATTGAGGTTTGCTCCTCATAAGTCTCCGGGATTGGATGATTACCCAATTAAGTGGTATCAACCCTATAAGATTATACTGGTGCCTTACTTACTCTGAGTGTATAACTTATGTAGATGGGAGGGAAAAACTACCATTTTCCATGAGAGAGGCATTGATAGTCCTATTACCTAAGGAGGGGAAGGACCCTTTGATATGTGAATCATATCGCCCAATTTCTTTGATCAATGCGGACGTTATCATTTTGGCAAAAGTGTTGGCAAGGAGGCTGCAGACTGTGATTACCAAGATAGTTGGAGTGGACCAAACGGGCTTTATGCCGTGTAGATGTGCACATATTAACATCAGGCGATTGTTTGTAAATTTACAGGTTACTCACAATAAGTCTGCACGAAGGGTGATTGCATTGTTAGATACAAAAAAGTCTTTTGATTCTGTGTAATGGGCATATCTTTTTTCCCTTTTGGTTAGGTACAGCTTTGGTTCTGTATTCATTTCTTGGGTGGAATTGTTTTATTGTGAGCCTGTGGCCCGAAAGAGGGTCAATAGACTTATCTCAGACCATTTTCAGATTTAAAGGGAAACCAGATAGGGTTGCCCTTTATCTCCTCTCTTATTTGCACTGGCTATTGAGCCATTGGCTGCAAAATTGAGAGAGGCTGTTAATATCAGGGCCTATGTATAGGGGAATACGAAGAGCAAGTGTCGTTATATGCTGATGATATGCTCCTATATTTAAATGATCCAGATTCTTTGCTGTTTGCAGCCTTCTTGATTATTCAGGAATTTGGAGACTATTCTGCTCTTCACATTAACTGGACACACTTGGACACACAACCTGATCTGCAATCTCCTTCTCCTTGTGCCATTATTGTCCAGGATAAGTTTAAATATCTTGGGGTTCATGTTCAGCTCCCACTACCTTCTTTTTTAGATAATGTTCTTTGGCCTGTCATTAGATCATTTAAAGATAGGGCTCAGAAATGTAAGGATCTTCAGTTAATGCTGTTGGGCAGGATTCATTTGTTCAAGATGATTTATTTGCTTAAATTTCTCTATATTCTCTCTATTGCTCCAGTATACATTCCAAAGAGGCTTTTAAAACATATTGATTCACTGCTTAGTGCTTTTTTGTGGGGTTCCAGGGTACCCAGGGCATCCCTAGAAATTTTACAACTTCCAATAGAAAGAGGGAGTCTGGCGCTGCCAGATCTTCGTACGTATTATTTTGCATCGCAACCGATGTATACTGGCGAATGTTCACTCAGTTAAATAATGCAGCAATGGCAGTCAAAGCGGTGGTGGTTTCCTCCTATGAGGCATTGCTGAACTTTTTCTACAGAGGGGAGGTCCTTACTCAAGGGGGCAAGTCCATTCTGACGGTTTCTAAGACGATATAGAGGTTGTTGTGTACTTATCAAATTTCGGATGAGTTCCTGGGTCATTCGCCGAGTGCTCCACTATGGTATAATCCACATTTGGAAGAATTTTTTAAGCTAAATGAGGGTCGTAGGTGGGCACGATATGGGGTAAAATACCTCCATCATTTATATAAGGATGGGAAATGTAAATCCTATAGACAACTGCGGACTGAGTGGGGTATACCTGCTTTGTGGGATTTTCATTATATCCAGCTCAAACATGCTGCAATCCGAGAATTTGGCGAGGAGGTGCTGTCTCTTTCTAATACTAAACTGGAGACACTCCTTCTGAGATGGGAGAATAATAAATTGGTTTCTAGTTACTGTATTACTCTATGCTGACTCTGATAGATAGTAGACAATGCCTTAGAACTAGGGAAAAGATGGAATGCTCTTGTCTCAGATCTGACAGCTCAAAGATGGTCAGATGTGCTTTATTCATATGTGGCTTCTGTCATTTCCTCTAGGGACAAGATGATACAGATTTGATATATCTACATCAAACTTATTACACACTGCTAAGATTATTTAAGATGGGTAGGAGG